GTGAACCTAAGGTGACCTTCTGTAGTGGAGTTTTCCAGAAGATAAATCACATAGTATGGCTAGAATGGATATTAGTGAGAAGTGTTAAGAGTTCCCCTATGTTTTTAATGTTAGACATGCAGATGTACGTCATCGTATTTTATAGAGATTTGTACCCCAGAACCCTGTCAGCTTGAGTCAAATATTTGACTACTTATGCCTGATGTAGGGCATGAGGGATGAACTGAAAATTATGTTGGTGTACCAATCATCCCAGTTCTTAGGCATTTATTGCCAGATCTCTACTCTAGTCTTCACCTGAATTTTTTTTTTAAAGCTTACATTCACTTAGTAAAATCATAACCATCTATACCCACAGAGTTGTAATCTAAAAGACATGACCAAAAAAATGGAAAAAGGAAATATGACAGGGAGCAAAGAGGAAAAAGAAAATTCAGGCACTAATTCTTATAGCAACCAGCTAGAATTATGTCAGGGTGAAAATGAAGAGCTGTTTTTTACCAGAATTTAACATATTCCTCTGCTGCAGCCTCCTAGACTGGCTTCTTCAAGTGGAAAGAGCCTCCCAATTCTTTACAGTCTTTCTACTTGAGCTGACAGAAGCAGTCTAACACATGAATCTGAGAATCTCCAGGCCTGCTCTTTTGGAGCAATTTTGAGTTCAATGCTAACTTATTTGGGGCAACTCTGCCAGCTATCAGCATATCAACAGATCATTGACCTAGCATATATGGCGAAAAAATATATTGACTTGGCTTGTATGGGTGGGATGTTAGGAGGCCTAATTGTATTGGATTTTTCATTAAGATGGGCAAATTCACTTCCTGTTGAGGTTTAGATTTGCACCAGCTTTCATTCTTCACAGTGCTTCCATAACCTGTGGCCTTGATGTGTTTCTAATTAGTACGGCTGATATTGCTAGCAAAGGATAGGGAGATGACAGCAGCAAGGATTGATAATCTCTGTCTTCGGTGCTGCTTTACCCTTTAGGTGCACAATTTACAATTGTAATTTTGTATATTTTGTGTAGACTTTTCTGATAAGGCCCTTAGAGTACAATTTCTGGCCAGTATACAATTGGTCATTGCAGAGTGTAACATCCTAATGGCATAGCACACTGCATAATCTAAAGCATGATATTATGCAAGCTTAAAAACCTGATAATTTATCCATGCAGAAGTAGGAACTAGATACCTTTTTCTACAAGCTTAGTAAAAATTCAAATAATTGTGCAGAGGAGAAGACACTGATTGTTGTATCAAATCCACAATGTATTTAGTAATGTGTAAGATATATTAATTATGTTGAATTTATTTCAGCATGGAATTGGAAGTGCTATTTAATATTTACTTAAGGGCTATTGATAGTTGTTAAGTTTTTAACATTCATTTTTTTGGCCAGTATTTTCAAAACTGCTTTTATTTCAGTTGTGTTGTCTGTTTATTCTTCTTCTGCAGCAAAATCTTTGTTCAGAACATGACCTGAGACGATTAAGAACTGCAAAGTCAGGAATGGGTCAAAATTTCTCTTTAGTAGTTAATAAAAAGAATCTGGTTTGGAAAATATTATCCTATCTTGGGCATTCCTTAATAGTCTATTATGCTCCAATAAGAATTTGGATTGTGCACAGACTTGTGACCCAGCTCATCAGTCCTGTCCAGATCTACTTTTCTGCTTGGCAGGTGCTTTTGCATCCACTTGAGATAAGGTTTGCTTTTGTGGGAAGCACTGTGACTCTTGCTAAGTGGCTGGCTCAAATTAGATGTGGGAGAAACGGAGAGATAAGGATGCTGCGTACTGGTGGAGTTAATCCATCCCAAGGGAAACAAGTGAACTTCTCTGGGAGCTTTGCTGCTCTCTAGAAAGGCAGGAGATCCCTTTCCAAAATAAGCAGGAAATGTAATCAAACTCAGATGCTTTCAACAAGTGCATTTTCACTGGAAAACATTACCTTGTTTCCAGTTCAGTGTGTGTTCTATGCATATAAACTAGGTAGGTAGTTTGTACCTACAGACTAAGCAGACCAATCTTCTTTATTGTACTGGAGAAGAGTGACAATCAGAGTGATGCTTCTATGAAAGGATTTTGTTATAGTCCCTTCCTCATCTGCTGATGATCAGAAGACTAACAAAGATCAAAAGAAAATTGGGATGTGTTCTATTAGCAGAGTCTACCATTTTGAAACTTGCCATTTTATCCTAATTGAACTTTAAGTAGAAGACTGGGAATGCTGTAGACCACATGTGTCAAACTCAAGGCCTACAGGCCGAATCTGGCCTGCCAGGCCATTTCATGTGGCCCTCGCAGTGTTGCCTGCTACTGTGCAGCATGCAATACGCAGGCGCTTACTCAGTCGCCCATAATGCTCTGCAAAGATGCTGGGAATCCTCCCAGTGGGACTTCTAATCCCAGCATTCCAAGCAGTGAAGAGTCAGAAAGTGCAGCCACTTGGGTGGCATACTGCATGTTGGGAAATGTAGAGTCCTCACTATTGCACACTCAGAGCTAGTTATTACTTATGTTATTACTAAAACAAGTAGTAATCTAATGAGGAGGATTATATTTAATATGATAAAAAGTAGATACATTTATATAGTCTTACACATACATCTGGCCCTTTGAGGGCAATCATAATGCCGATGCAGCCCAAGTTGAAATTGAGTATGACACCTCTGCTGTAGACTGTATTCAAACCTGATTCCCCAACACAAAAAAAGATAGTATATTGTTTCTGAAACTCTGACTTGGCAACCCTCTATCTTTTTCTTTAATCTTTTCCCATCTCTAACAACACTCGTACAGGGACCTGTAGAGCCAACATGGAGCCTAAGGTCCAATATTTTGCATTAATTTTAGACTCTTATGTTTTTCTGTCTTATATATACTTACATGGGAGTCAGACCCACTGAAATCAATGGAACACAGAAATGTGTAGGATAGCATTGTATAACTAGGGAGTCAGATAGCTATCAGATACTTATTGGTAAAAATGTTCAGATAAAGTTTGAAGCTACACACTAATTTTCAATTGTTTTTCATCCGGATGTCAAGTGTCATAGAGTCCTGTATTGTAAAAAAGAAGTCTCTGAAATTGAGAAAACACGGGCCTGGATTGTAGTCAAAAATAGTATGCAGAAACAAGAGAAAGATGAAATGTAGCTGCTGAAGGGACTAACAAAGACAGGGGGAAAAATTGAATACCCTATTTGTTTGTTTGTTTGTTTATTAAACTTGTATCCCACCCATCTAGGCAGTGTCTACTCTGGGCGGCTCACAACACAATAGAATACATACAGTTAAAAATATCAAACAATTTCACAGCAATGAGCATATCATTCAAGATGGGTCATACGTTGGCTAAGGAGCCACTGCTGAGAAGGCCTGGTTTACAAATCTGTTTATTATTTATTTATTTAAAATATTTTATCCCTCCTTTCCCATTAAAAAGGATCCAAGACAGGAAGTAATATCATCAGGCCACCTCGAACTTTCCAATGCCAGTCAAGTAAACTGGGAACTACTGACATAGGGGTTCCAAAATGGGAGAGAAGGGGAGTAAGTAATTTCCATTATAAAAGCTTATTAGAAGAGGCAGTATATCAGCATGTTGCATTTAACAGCAGACTTTAAAAAGTTGTGGCATTGAAGGTTTTGTGTGAAGTCAGATAGAATGGTCGGTACTCTATCTCTGGTCTGCAACAGCTCATAGTAATGGTGCTAGTTAAACAGAAATCTTTCCTTTATTTGGATATGAAGGTAACATCACAAATTTTCCAGCTACTCAGCCCACCTTAAAGCATTTGCCTTCTAACCTAAATTCCTTATAACAGAGGTAGTACTACAGGCTGTTGCTTTGTAGAGTGCTAAAATGTTAATCCTAATGTTGTAGTATAAACAGGGTTCTACAGTCTTACTAAGGAAAGGATTTTGACACCACTAATCTGTAGCTTTCAGCTCCTCCTATTGCACAGCCATTAATCCTTTCCAAGAGTGTTGGAAACATAGCAAAGGAGCCAGAACAGTTGTGTATTCACTGACACTGTTGAAAGTAGTACCAGCACCTGTTTCTGTTGACTGAGAGATTATCACACTTCCATGTTCATTAGCAGGGTTAGAGGGTATGGTTGGAAAGATACCTTATGCCTGCTGACAAGGAGCAGGTGCAGCCCTACAGATTTGCTTGCCTGATGTTAAAATTTGACAGCTGAAATTTGGCCACTGACATCCATTGCTAGTGTAAATCTTTTATTTATTTATTTATTATTAGATTTTTATCTTGCACCTTCTCGACAAAATCTACTCAGGGCGGCTTTATAACCACAGATAGCTATTCTACAGTCATCACTTGGAACGAAGCTACTTTGCTTACCTGGAATAAGATTTGCACATGTCAAGTTAACATACAGGATACTGATAAGAAGTTTATCAGCCAGGGGGTCCATGGCATTCCCTAAAACAGATTTGTACCTTTTGTTGTTGTTGTTGTTGTTGTTGTTGTTGTTGTTGTTACAGTACTATGTACTTTCTTTCATACTTCCCATCAATATACGTACCCTCTAATTTTTGGCTCCACTGAGTGGGGATCCACCTCTCTCGCACACAATATCACTCCTGTATCTGTGCATGACTCCACCCCCTCCATGCACAGGGTTATGTGGAGGAGGAAGAGAACTGTGAGGAAGGAGGTGGAGTAAATCTTCAAATTTTCTGATCTTTCAAAACTGTAAACCTTTTTTTAATAATCAATATATCACATTTTGATTGAAATATATTAACTTGAAACACCTTTTTAAGTATGCAACACAGAATTGTATGCAAATCTTCTGAAAATGGATTAACACAACAACAACTTTCTTCTTTCCCACCTATATTACATTTTTAGGTAGGAGGCTTATAGTGACTTCTTTTAATTTTTCTTCCAGTTTTCCTTATTATAATTAACAATATATACAATTTACTTGTGTTTCAGATTATAATTGATTTATATTTTCAAATTTTAGATAATTCAGCACCTTTTAGATCTTGACCAGAATTGCAGCAAGTTGAAGTTGTATATTGGACATTTGACAGCCTTGTGCCAGGACCGGGACCCCCTTATTCTCCGTGGACTCACCCCACCTGCTTCCTACAACCTGGATGACAACCATGCAGCTTGGGAGAAGGAGCTGCAGAAGATGACTCTGGAGCAGGTTAGCATGTTCTAGCCTTTTCAGTGTGCTTAAGTACACATGAGGCATATTGTTTGAAGCCTGTGTGGGTCATTGAATCGAAGTCCTCCCCCCCCCAATGGATTTTTGCTTTATAATACTAATAGCATATATAACCATCCCCACCCCTGCTAAGGGATGGGTCAGCGGGGTGGGCCTCCTCAGCCATAGGGTCTATGAAGTCAAGGCTCTCTGTAACTGGACTTTATTAGAGTAGGGGAACAGGGTACAGGGAAACATTGGGTGCCTTGCACATTCCATCCCAACAGTTTTCAGGGGGGCTAAGTTAGCTTCACTAGGCCCCTGTCAAGTCCAATCATCCCCAAAGCCCAAGTTCTGCTTACTGACCTGGGTCTAGTCTAGCCCAGCTAGCCATTTAAGGAAAGCATATGTTGCTAGACATTTATAGTCTCCAATTTCCTCCAAGCCCTTTTTTCCTGTATTGCAGATCTCCCTTTTGGGTTTCCCTCCTCCAGCACTTTCACTGGCTCAGTGTGGGGCTGCGGTTCCTAGTTGGTTTCTGCAGTCTCTAAGGGTTTAGGGTCAATAGCATGCCTCCCCCATGCTCTTGTCCTTTAGCAGCTCTACCTGAACCCACTGCCTGGTTCACAGTTTCTCCACCATCAGCAGGCAGTCTTCCTCCAATACACACATTATGTGATCCAGCTTCTCCACCACGTATCCCTACTCTTCTCCCTCCAGTTTTGTAGCTGGTAACAAGTCCTCCCTTCTCCTTCTCCCATGAGCTTGGCCCAGCCTCCATCCCCTAACCCCCACAAGGCTCATCTATCTCTTTCTCCCCACTTTGGTCTCCTTTTCTGCACCCTCCTGGTGCCCTGCTGTTCCGTTAGGTCCACTGGGGGTGCAGGGCAGGGGTGGCCAGCCTGCTAGGGACAGCCAGACCATCCCCTTTCACAGCTTAATATTTGGTATAAGTCAAGGAAATCTGCAACAAAATATTGTTGCATGTCCTCAGCCTTTTAATTCTTAAGATTCCTATTCAGGCTTTCAGCCAGCAAGACATGCCTTCTTCCATTATACTATACCTTGTAAGAGGCTCCAGATGACCAGTTCACGCTCCCCATATACACACAAACACTGCTTTTATGTCTGACAAAGTGGACAAAAACGCACATTAAAAACTATAATGTGCCACTGCTTTTTTGTTTTTTTTTTACTTTTTATTTCTATTTTGCTTTCACCTATAATACAAACACATTTTGCATTTTTCTTTTGCATTAGAAACTCAGTATTATATGGCCCCTGCTAACTGAGTGTGTGCAATCATCATAGGACTATAAACAGTGGTTATATAGGTTATACATACACAGTGGTTACAGCAGTTGCAAATTTGATATTTTCTTCTGAAGAAACACTATATAAATGGATCCTGTGTTGATTAAGCATGCAGAATTTTAAATCAGAAATAAAGAATACAGTATAGACTACAAGGTATGCACACTCTCTGTTTAAAGAACATTGCCAGGCTAAAGAGTAGAGTTAGGAATAAAAGAGGTTAAAAGTTGGCATGTAGAAGATAATTAAGACTTTCCTGTTACATTTCCCTGGTATATGTTTTGTGCATCTCTCTGAATGAAAGGAAACATGTCTCTTTAAATCATCTGAAGTAGAATTTTGTATTTATTTGTCATGACTACTTCTCCAATAAGATTCTGCTTCTCATTTATGGTGAGTTTACTTGAAGGGATTGGCACATGGTACAATAAGCTCCTGTGGTTGCAGTCTTATCAATGGGAGAGGGATTGGCACATGGTACAATAATAAGCTCCTGTGGTTGCAGTCTTATCAATGGGAAGTGTCACAGCTTTCCAAAGCATGTCTGTATTCAAGTGAAACTCCACAAAATTGAAGAGGGGTATATAAAATTTGAACATCAGGATTTAAATAGAGCTTGATAGATGAGTCTCAAATCTCAGGTGTTTCCTTGAAAAGTTGATGGAGTTGATAGGTTTGTATATATAGTGAACAGCGCAGCTGTCCAGATTCTGAAGAAATATTAAATTATTCTGCACCACTACAGTTTGAAGGAACTGAGTTACAGCTGCAGGGGCACCCCTAAAGAGTTTGACCTGAGTATTTGAAATTTGCCATAATGTCTCATATTATCTTGTAGCTGTAAGTGTGTTTGGGTTGTTCAAATCAAGCATAATGTTATACTCCCATATGCCAATAAAAATAGAAAGGCCATAATCCAATACAAAGTTATGCACACTGAAACTTGATTAGTGCGCCTGAACACAACTAGTTCTGTGTTGGTTGGATTGTGGCCAAAGTGGCATAATTTCCTGTTGATTTTATAAATAAATAATTTTGAGAAGGAGGCAGTTTATTTAGTTCTTGAATTATGGACATGGATCCTAAACTTAGGCACACATATATTGTGTTTAGCTGTTGAAATGTTTTTTAACACTATGGTGTTTTCGTTTGTTTTTCTTTCTCTGAATAAATGCTTAGCAAATGAAGATTTGCCTTACTGGGGAGTATAAATTTGATTGTTCAGATTTTCTTTGACAAGTTACAAATACTGTAAGTCAGTTTTTACTAGCATTGTGTAGCCTTTTCCCCTTTCCTTTTCTTTTATTATATTGAAGCTTCTGAACTGGCTTCGTACTGCTTCAGTTTTGCTGTTTACATAAAGTTCTCATTATTCTAGCATCTCATTTTGCTTACGAAGACAACTGGAGTAGATTAACTGCGTAGACAGGAGTACAATTGTACAAAGTGTTTCTTATGCATGATTTTGCACATTGGATAGATGCTGTACTTGAACACATAGGAACAGACATTAATATCTCCTTTTTCCCTTGAAATTCTGTATGACTTTAAATTCTCATGTGTGAACGCTTGTTTTAATTATATTGCAGGTTGTCATAGTTCTTCTAAACTAGAGAAGATAGCACAAAATATATAAGATTTTCCTAGTTCTTCCAGCTACCATAGTAGTATTTCCCTTTGTGCCTAGCCCATATTGACATGACTGTCAATATAGCTGGGCTTAGAAATGTGAACAATGTCATACTTGTTGAGAGGAGTACCTTTGGCTGTGTTGGCTACTTTCAGTTTAAGTTTCATGAAAATGAAGTACAATTAAAGATTGTGATTACCATTTTTGGAATTTTGTCTACAAAATGAAGGATAAAAATTAACCTGTTATACAGTATATGCCTTGTGTGTGGGCAATAACCTACATGAAATACACAGATTTTCCCCATCATGTATAGCATAAATATGCCATGTGAATCACTGCAGTTCTGTTCACTGAAAGTGTGGTTCAGGTTTTTTTTACCTGTGGTATCTTTTAAGAACCTCTCGTTGCCTGTTCCCTCAAATGGCCTCTTACTTGCTTTTATTTTTGTCCATTTCCATGTATGCATGGAGTTCTTATCAAAGCTTGAAGTATAGAAGAGAAGTTTTCTCTTCTATACTTCAAGAGATAAATACATTCATCTATTATACTTTTTTTAACCTACAGAAATGTGAAACAGCAAGATTTAAGCTAGTCCTGGGGTATTTAATGAAGGCATTCACTACTAGTTAATCCACTACTACTAATTATGATTTAGTTTATTGAAAAGTTTATATTATTTGAGAGTCAAGAAAGGGTTAAACTGAATGACTATATCTCTACTGACAAGATACTCAGCACTGGCACTCCACAAGGTTGTGTCCTCAGTCCACTACTGTTCCCACTACTACTATATAAACTTGAAAAGTTTATATTATTTGAAAGTCAAGAATGGGTATCTTTGCCCTTAAGAGAAATTAAGGATTTGTCTGTATGTAATTGAGGGTACTCCTGTTACTGACTTCTACTAGCTGAAAAGGTTAAAGATGTGGGCACTGCAGCAATGACATAACACATGTATTTTCTTCTCAACACACCTTTTTTTTAAGCATGTTGAAACAGCCCAACAATGCTACCATTTTGAAAATAGGAAGTGGTGTAACTCAGTCATGGTGAACAGCAAAACCACGCATGAGATACCAAAAAAGTGACAAAGGAACTTCTAGTTGTATTCGCAAAGGCTTTCACGGCCGGGATCTAATGGTTGTTGTGGGTTTTTCGGGCTCTTTGGCCGTGTTCTGAAGGAACAACCTTCAGAAGAACAACAGAACATGGACAAAGAGCCAGAAAAACCCACACATCCATTAGAACTTCGAGTTATTCAAACTTTAATAATTTATTTATTTATTTATTTATTTATTGGACTTATATACCGCCCCATAGCGCTACAAGCACTCTCCGGGCGGTTTACAATTTTAATTATACAGGCTACACATTGCTTCTAAGTTGCTTCTAAGTTGCTTCAGTAACTTTCACAAAGTTCAATATCCTTGAACATTCAGAGTCACTCAATTCGCTTAGAACAAGCAATGGTTGAAATGGCAGATAGAAATGAAAGAGGTACTAAAGTTAACCAGGTCTGTGTTGTGCCCCAGGATGCACAGGGGGCAGAAAAGGAAGCATATTTCTAAAGGGGAAAAGTGTGTGAAATGTTTTGCCTACAAGTGGAACACTTTGGATGTGGGTGTTTAACACTTTGGAAGAAAAGAGAAGAGTGTGGAGAATTAAGATGCCGTTTTCTTTTTCCTATGCTAGAGAGCTTTAGCAGCTCACCTTATCATGTATTCACCCAAACTGTTTTATTCACTCTTGTCTGATGGAAAATGGGTTCTTTTGGCAGGAATAGGAATTCTTGAAGGACTTTAAGTACATATTGGAGCTCAGCTGTTCATCATGCATGGTTATCGTTACTAAGAAGAAAGGGCAAGTGACATGGATGTATACCATTCAGACTTTACGCCATGCACAATTTAAGCTCAAAGTATTCACCCAAACTGTTTTATTCACTCTTGTCTGATGGAAAATGGGTTCTTTTGGCAGGAATAGGAATTCTTGAAGGACTTTAAGTACATATTGGAGCTCAGCTGTTCATCATGCATGGTTATCGTTACTAAGAAGAAAGGGCAAGTGACATGGATGTATACCATTCAGACTTTACGCCATGCACAATTTAAGCTCAAAAAGGTAGCACCACTTCATGCATGGTTATCATTATTAAGAAGAAAGGGCAAGTGGCATGGATGTATACCATTCAGGCTTTACGCCATGCACAATTTAAGCTCAAAAAGGTAGCACCTTACCTTTAGATTTCAGACAAAAACAGCCAACATCAAACTCTGTTCTTCTCCAACAATTGAGTATGCCTGGAGAAAGAGCATTTATTCCTCCTCCTTTGTATTATGGTTCATCAATACTTGCAAGTACTGTAGCTTCAGGGTATAATGAGATTGGTCTGTGAATTATCTATGGGATGGGACTCTTTTCATAAGCCAGCCAGTCCTTAGAACTCCATATAGGACAAACAGGCAATTAGTACTGTCAAGAGTACTGTAATAACTTACTATCAGCTTTCATAACATTCACACTTAGTATTTTAATAGTTATTATGAAAAATATGGACCTGGACTTGATGATCCGTAGGGTCCTTCCAGCTTTGCAGCCCTAAAGATTATGATGGTTATATAAACATATAAAATTTGACAGTTGCACAAGTCTCATTTCCTTTCTTAATGCAGTAAACCAGTACTCTTGCTCCTGGACTTTGCAGTTGTAGGAAAACTGTGGATATTTCAGCCTATATTGAAAGGAAAGAAAGCAGGTAAAAGCATTTTTAATTGAAGAATTTGTGGATGTCAGTGGAGAACAAAGTGATAATTACTTTGCCATGATTCTTATTTTTATTTGCACTGCGGGCATTTTATTCTGTTACATGTGATAGTATCATGTAGATGCAAGCTTTTTCCTCAGCCAAAATCTTAAACTGAGAATCCTAGTACTCCATTCATAAACAAAAGGCAGAGGTCTAGGATTCATCTATTTTTTTTTCTTTTACTGAGAATATACTGATCTAAACAGTATCTAGAAGTAATATATTATTTTTAAAATATTTATAAATAAATTTAAACATTGCCTAATATGGGTATTCTTTTATAAACATATTTTGAATGGGCATGCCAGTGATATTATATAGGCAAGCTTTCCCAGAGCAAAACTAAGCGTCAGCATGCACTAAGAGAGAACATTTCAGATTATTTAAACATAAAAGAGTTTATACACAAGCTGCATTAATGAGGTATGTTTTAAAACCCTATAATGTATGAAGTGAAATAATGTCATAATTGTTGCTCTCAACTACAGAAACATCTCACTGGCTACTTACCTGCAGTTTTCCATAGTTATGAGTTCCAAATTTATCTTGTGTTCCTATATCATTACTCTTCAGATGGTAGGTCAATCCCCATTGTAAAGTTGATCACATCCACCAGGGAGGGAGGGAAGGTCTTCTTTTCATCAATACAGAAGATCTAAATTAAAATTCTACTAATATCTGCATCTCTTTCTAGTGCTTTTTGCAACATGAATAAGCAGTGCCCCCTAGAATATATGGATGCCAACAGAAGAGTTTTTCCTCATATAGGAAGCATGCATTAGGAAGCATAAGTGAATCTGAAGCATATGTGACAAGTCCTCAAGGAAGACATCACTCATACTTTAAGACCATACACTTTTAACAGCATGCAGAGCTGTCATTTTAGAGTGCAACATGTTTTCATATTCACATATTATTCAGATGTACAGCAGGCATTTATCAGGAAGATGCAATTGGCTCCATATCCTTGTTCAGGAGCAAACAGAAGTTTGGTTCCAAATATTGTGTGAAATGATATCTTGCACATGACTTACCTCAGAGAGCAAAGGTAAGATTGTATATAGGTTGAAGGCTGAATCCTGTCCAATGTACATTCACGCCCCACCAACACATGCTGATGGATTTCTGTCTCTTGTTTTCTTTCAGCTTCATGATGAACTGGAAAAGGTTGAGAGAGACAGCGCAGAGCTGCAGGAGTTTGCCAATGCCATTCTACAGCAGATAGCTGATCACTGCCCTGACATCCTGGAGCAAGTTGTCAATGCACTTGAAGAGTCATCATGACCTAAACCAGTGCTTGCCCCCTACACACACAACATGGCCGGGGGCCAAGCCCAGTCAGTCCAAGGAGTTGTGGATGAAGAAGACTATGAATGGGGGAGAAAAGAAAAAACTTCCGGTGCACCTTTTTATTAAAAAAAAAAAGCTAGATGAACCTAAACTGGTATCACAGCTTTTCTAGTTGATTAAATACTGAATCATGCCTGCATTTATTTTCTCACTGCCTTGGAATATGCCTCCCAGTTTCCCTTCCTATTGGCTTTGTGATTTACCTGCTCAGAAATGTGCTGATTCTAGGAAGCATGGAAGTGGCCATATGCTGGACACAGTTAGCTCTGGTGTTTCTTGAAATGGTGACAGGGGAATATTTGCCTTTAGTTTCTTTTTCCAATAGTAAAAATTTAGCCTATCTTCATTTTTGGGAGAAATTGAGCAATAGACCTGCTTAGTGACCCACAGCTGACCAACAACAGTGGCTAACCTTGGATTTTTCTGCCTGTGTCTATACAGGATTTTTATCCTAAAAGTGGACATTATTGCAGAGAAGGAGGTATTTCTTGTCATCAACTGAAGTCAACAGTAGTGACTTCAATTAAAGAAGAATGAGGAATATTTTTTTATTTTCTGTGTTATTCTGTCTATTGTATGCCTCAGTTTTGTTTACCAAACAGGATATGAGACAGTGGTGGCTTTTTTCGTTAGCTGTCATTCTGAACAGTCTGGTCAATTTCAGCACAGTACTCTATCTCAATATCTTTGAATAAGAGGAGCCTTAGAGCATGTAGTGCAAAAGAGTGTCAGAACTTTATACTTAGTGCAGTAAGAAGAAAAGATGTAACTTGCTTTCCAAAATGGTTTGCCACTGTAATGATTATCCAAATCACAATATTTGGTTTTTCCAGGTTAATTAATTGAGCTTTCTTTGTTTTGTTGTTGTAGTTTCTTATTTGAATATGCTCATTCCTGGACTCTGAACCTAAGATCTGTAAGGCAGGCATGCTTTCTGGTCCTTTTATTCTGTTTTTCAGACACTACAATACATCCTTTCCTTCAACACAAAACACTGAGACATTGTAGAAGGTCTCATTTCACATTATTCCCTTCCAAATGCCTTCCCCCATGCCTACAAATCAGAAAAAAAGACCTTGTTATATCACTGGCTTTTAAAGAGCATGGTAGGAATATCTATAGAATGAAAGGAAATGTTTAATGCTACTTAAACATAATGCATCTTTCAACATATCTCCATGGCAGGAGGAAAAGTCCCATGGTGATACATCAGGAGGGGATGTACAGCATAAATAATTTAGAAGTCTGAACAGTATTTTTCCTATTGGTTTGCTTGTGAGAGATTCACCCTGCCATTTTAGTTAGCACCTTCATGCTTTGGAGATCTGGAGTAATAGTTTTACAACTGATGGCAGTAATAGCCTGTGGCTGGTGCTTTTCATTATAAAGGAGGGGGGCCTTGACTGTTCTTGAGGTTGAAATTGTCTTTACCGGAAGGCAAGTAGACAGTGACTGTACATATCACTGAGCAATACCTTGTAACAGAGCCGCGCCTTCAGCCCTATTGTTTGAGTCAGCACATTTTGATAGGAATTGCTGTTTTGAAATCTACCGTTTAGTTTTTACCCTTTCATTCCTAATTACTCACTGTAGGAATTTAATGCTGCCTGTAAAACTCTCTCAGCCTTCAGGCCTAACATCTTCCCACCATCACCACCACCCCTTGACTATCCTATTAAGTTATATCGTTGAATCTCCAGCTGCCCTTGTTCCCTGCTGTAAAACAATCCACTCTCTCTGTGGGAGAAGCTGTGGAATTTTCCTTATCTATGGTTGAAATGACTGCTGGTTGTAAACCTCTTACTGAGATCCTCCTTGATAGTAGGTTTTGTTTTGTTTGCCAGTAGCTGGAAGTAGAGAGGATTGCTAATCAGAAATAGTCACTTGCGGTTGCTGCTTCATCCCTGTGTTGCATATCTACCACACTTTTCCATGGTAGTATTTCTGGAGTCTTTAACTCAGCTGCTGTCATGTGGCTGTGCTTCTTCAAAACCTGAATATAGTATGTGTTAGCAGCAGGATGACATTCTCAGAACATTCTGTAGAGGGCACACTGCAATGAAATTGTGATAAAGCCCATTGTTTACACCCTAATTCACTCACAGCATGGTCTCCGGGGAGGAGTTGGGATTTGTCAAGCAGATCCAATTCCCAGGCTGGCCATTTGGTCTTTATCACCTAGCAGCACATCTGCTGTTTCAATCCTTTTCATCCAAACCCGAATCTGAAATGTGCCTCTCTTGTGACTCTCTGCTTTTTCCAGGATCATACATAGCTTTTCGACCCAGTTCCATGAGTTCAGATCCCACCACACTAAGGCATGATGTGAACTTCCAATAAACTGCTTATAAAGTGAAAGAGAGAGTACAAACAGAGTTTTAACTTGAGACAGTTATTTAGCTTTATTTTTAGTGAACATTGATAATCTCTATGATGCTCTTTGGACAATGATCCTGTCTTATTTCATTTCTAGGAGCTATGGAGCCTTAAATACAAGGTGTTGGTCATGAGCTGTTCTTGAGTACGGCCTGCTTCAACTTGTCTCCTTTAACAGTAGATTGCAATGTAGTTGGCTGACTTGTGGATATAGTTAACTATTTCCTTTATGAGATGGTATTAAATGCACTTGTCCAAAGAGATGTCTGGTTATTGCTACATTATCATAGATCTCAAAATATTTTTATTTCTGCTTCTGCCCCTTTTACCTTCATTTTTCCAAATGTCAGTTTTAAATATACTCTCTTCCCATGAATTCAAAAATCTCTTGCTTATACTAGCCTTGTAAAATGAGATCTCTTTGCTGGATTATAACAAGGCTTAGTTATATCTGATCTCTTCTGTGTTGTTAAAAAAAGTCTCGGAGGCTATGTATAAAGAGAGTAGTATGACTTTTTAAATTAATTTGATAGAATTCTTAATAGTACCTTGGGAAATTGAGATTATTTCTTGACAACCTTGCTGGGCATCCTAATTGGATAGTTTAACAATCCTAAAGCAATTGCATTCTCTTTCTATTCTCATTAGTCCAGGTTTTTAAAAGCCTAAAATAAATGTAACTTCAGCCTCAAAATTGAAACAGTGACACTAGCTATCAGTCTTCAAGGAAAACATTAGGAAGAGAATCTTCAGATCAAATAGCTATCTAGCGTACAGAGTCTGTTACAGCAAATTTCTGTGGCCATTGTTTTCACTCAGAAATGCCAAACACTCCCTGAATATCCCAAACATCTACCAAAAAGCAGTAGAGATTCTGGTGACAGAGTAATGCATGCCATCAAATACCATGGATGGAAGGGAAAGACTTACTAAGTCTTGAGTTAGTAAGTTTGTAAGTTTCTAGTGCATGGAAACGGTTGCAGCAAATTTTATAGAATTGCTATATTGTGAGGAAATGTTAAGCATCTGTAATTGTGGGCTTTTTAATTGATTCTGATATTCAAGGAGTATTCCATTTTGGAAACCTATATTGGAAAGAAAATAATAATGGAACTCCAGTTTCTGCTGTCTTCTATTCCTGTACGGACACTATAGCATGGGTTCTTGGAGTGACCTTAGTGAAATGAAAGTGGGACATATTTCTATCAAAGTTCTTGAAATTAGAATCTGCTATGTCAGATATTTTAGGAGCAGTGCAAAGCAGAAGGTACTCGATTTAATAACACTGCCCTTTTGAAGCTAGAGAAGTGGGGAGTTAAAGGAAAGGGTAGATTGGGGCTGCCAGGATTAATGACAGACTTCTCTTGCCAATCACTCAGTCTTGTCAGGGCAGCAGGTGCTGTTTTTATAATAAAAAAAACTATTTTTTAACTTTTTTCCATTGATAGAAGGAGTTGTTGTCCTTCTGAACAAAATGGCTGTATCTACTGACCTTTTTTAAAAAAGAAAATAAAAGCATTTCCAAACTTTTTAGTGTCAAAAACGTAAACATAAAAATTACTGACTTTTTCCAGTGTGTGTGGCGAGTGTTGGAACCCTGTCTCCATTGGTATTTCCTCTTGAATTTTTCAGACTTTTTTAAAAAATATTTTTTTCCGTTTTGTTCTCTGCTTGTCAGTTATTGTCTGTGTGGTCCTCAGACTGGGACAGTTACCGATAATGTGTGTCTGTTGTCTGATTTAAAATTTTAAAAAAGAAGTAGAAATGAAAAAAAAGTTGTGCTTAAAAATATATAAAACTAAATGTATTGTCCAAAGGAATTCAAAATATGAAAAGGCAAAGTTCTGGACTCCTCCTCTCAGTTCTATAAGGAAATGGATTTTTAGGTGCAAGATACCTTTCAGATGCCTTTGATGGATCAAGAAGACCAAACCAGCGTGGCCTTCTTAGGAATCTAAACTATTCTTCTCTCAATACTGTACTACATGAACTATTTCTAAATTATGGAAAGGGGCAGAATTATAAACTCTCCCTCAGTAGCTGCTGCTGTTTTCTGTGGTTGTCCCTGACACTCAAAAACTAAAAAATTAAGTAGAAAAGATACAGTGAAGCATATTTGCACACACCTTAGTCCCTATTTTGTACACTTAAATTTCTCAGTGTGTTGAAATACACATTCACTCCGCCAGTACTTTATCATGTGGTCATTCCGTACACATCCTTTTTTTAAAAAATTTCACATTTGTAACTTACAAGAAAGGGCTTGCCATTCTTTTCTGTACTGTTGGAATGGAATATTTTGCCCATTGCTGGCCAGCATAAATCTGCATATCATAAATATATTTGCTACTGCTATGAGTCTTGTGTTAAATTGTTACATAGGAAAAAAAAATCTTCCTTAATTTGGGGAATGCCTAAACTAATTTCAGTTAGAAGTTACCAATTTTTCAGTGCTGGTATCTGTTTGACTCCAGATGACAATGAAACTATTTTATCTGATTTTCTGGTTTCATATTCTAAGACTGTAGCTAAACTTAGTTGATATCACAATTTAATTTGTATTCTTCCCCATACATTCTTGGTCATTTCAGACCAGACTTTGGTTTAATTCTGGTTTCACAAGAAACCTCTTAGGTACATGTCTTCTCTCATCTAGCCCTTTTCCCACATTCGGTGATGAATTTAATATGCTAGATCCTAAGACTTATATTTACCAAATGTTTGCATCTTGTTTTAGTTTTGTGCAAGTAAAGGGAATAAATCCAGAAGACCCTTCTGTAATTTGAGATAACACAATGCTCATTTGCTCCTGCCAAAACAGTATTGTTACCTCTCTCAGATTCACCTCATGCTAAAACTAAAATGCCCAGGTTCTGCTTTGTCAAATTATTCACAAAGGCAACTCAGTGGAATGTCCTAGGGACTGAAAATTTCAGCTATTTACATATGCATGTGCCCGCACACACTACATATAGATAGGGATCTTTTGCTACTTGGAAAGTAATGTGTTGCACTTTAATAGAGGAGGAGACAAGCTTTGCAGTTATAGTCTGGCATACTTTGAGTTCTTTCTGGAAGGAGCAGCAGTGGGAGGTGATAGATGTCTGTAATGCAAGTGCGCACGCTGCCTTCAACTTGTATGTGTTTTATTGATGGAGTCATGTTACTGACAAGATAATGAATTGCAAAGAAATTGTGTTATATATTCAACTTTGCCTTGATAATATAAACACTTTTGTTCAATTTTTTCCCTTTTTTTATTCACAGACTACGTTCATCAGGAAATTATAAAGTTGTTTAAAAACTGTACTGTCTGTTCTTTTCTTCAGAATACCTTTTAAACTTGTTTTTATATTGCATTATCCAAAAAGGCTCTGAGGCGTGATGTTGAAGATACAGTGTCCAAATGACACTAAACCTCCTCTTGCCACACTCTATGAACAGTGCATTCCAAGGATGCTTGGATTTGGTAAAACCATCAGAAGAGGGAATCTGGAAATCAGATGCCCAAAACTCCTTTTTCTGCTACTTTTACAGTTGACACAGTGTGCAGGCTGAAAAATTCACAAGAACCATATCTTTCACAATGGCTTGTTCCTTTTGAGTGTACAAAGGTTGGCACCCATTGTTTCAGCATGCCACACTTTATTATTATTAGTAGTAGTAGTAGTAGTAGCAGCAGCAACAACAACAGTAGTAGTAGTAGTAGCATACAATGAACATTTCTTTTTAACACGAAGAATTTTCAGATCTGTGTCTCCTAAGAAGCATTCCGAGAGCGGTTTCTTAACACACATTCTCCTGCCTCTTCAATGCGCCACCATCTAGGGCAGACCATACTTTTTTTCCTCCAGCCTCTACACTGTCCTACCTTTTCAGGCATGTTTCCCTCTTTATTAATTCTTCTACTTCCATTGTGAGGAGGAGGAGGAGTAAGAACAATATGATTTATTTCACTTCTTCCTCACATTCAGGAACATTTTATTTTATTTTCCAGCCATTTTTTCCTATAGTTGAATCACCAGATATGGTCTGAGTAAAATGGCCTCTCCACTAATTTGTATAAGAGGTGGAAAGTTGCTAAAAATATACTAAACAAATAGAAACCTAGCGGAATACCCAGGGTTTTCTTTTCTTTCTTTCTTTCTTTTCCTTCTTATGCCCTGTCACAGTTGACATCTCTCTGACTTGGTTGGCTAAACTGCATGCAATGAAATGTAATGTACATCACGATGTACCAATCCAAAGGCATAGGAGTAGGATTTTTAATGGCACAACCCTTCCAATCAGTTTATGTGGCAAGGTGAAAATTCAAAGAGTGGTCACATCATAACTTCATAAATGTCAAAGGATGAACTGACCTAGGATTCACTCTCTAGAGCAGACGTCAAGACATGGAAGGCTTGTAACGGTAACCTTATAAATGCTAGACGATGAAGATGCCAAACCTCTTTCATGGGTTATCTGGTTACATTATATGCTGAGCAGTAAAAAGAGTCCAGGATGTTGGAAGTTGAGACCACCTGTGCCTAAACTTGGGACTAAAGTAAAAAAACAGGGACAAGAATCATATGGTCCTTGGAAATGCATTTTTGCTCTTGTCTAACCATTCATTCATATCATTAATTTTTTAGGTTTATATATCAACTTTCAGAGCAGTTTACAAATTTTAAAAATGGCAAAAGTAAATACTATCAAAACACTTTAAAAGCAGTCCAACAATTGAGATCGGAAACTCTTTTGAAAGGTCTAGGAAACTAAAATCAGTAACATAACAAAGCATGTCTCCACGGAGAGAATTCCAGCAGAAAGACGCCACAGACCAAAGTGCTGCTTCTCTTAGTCATCATCCACCTCAACTCATACAACAGCGACCTTTGGCTGCAGTGCATGGGCAATGTGATGCAGGAACTGACATTTTTTCGGATACAATCATAGAGTAAAGGAATTGGAAGTGGCTAATAAGGCCATCAGGTCCAGCCCCCAGCTCAATGTAGAAATCCTAATCAAAGTATATCTGGCACATGATTGTCGAATTTTCTCTTGAATGCCTTCAGCAATTGAGCACTCACCACCACTTAAGATAATTGGTTCCACTGTCATACTATTCTAACTGTTAAGAATTTTTTCCTGCTACTCAACTTAAATCCGGCTTCCTGTAATTTGAAACCATTATTTAAAGTGCAGATATAGAAGTGGACATGGCACTCAAAATGAGGTGTTAAGAATTTTTTCCTGCTGCTCAACTTAAATCCGGCTTCCTGTAACTTGAAACCATTATTTAAAGTGCAGATCTAGAAGTGGACATGGCACTCAAAATGAGGCCTAACCAGTGCCAAATAGAGGGAAATTAGTACTTTATGGGATTTGGAGACTATACTTCTATAAATAGCATTGGCCATTTTTGCAGCCTCATTGCACTATTGGCTCATATTCAGCTTGTGATCTACAATAGTTCCAAAATTCTTCTCATATGTAGTATTACTGAGCCAACTACCCCCATATTGTAACTGACTGGGTTTTTTCCCTAAATGTAAAAATTTGCAGTTATCCCTGTTAAATTGCATTCTGTTTTTTATTTCAGCCTAGTGCTTGAACCCATCAAGATCTTTCTCAATTTTGTTTGTGCCTTCCAGGGTTTTAGCTATTCCACCCAATTTTGTTTCATCCACAAATTTAATAAGCATTCCTTGAACTCCCTCATCCGAATCACTAATAAATATGTGCTAGGTAGCTCAGTGGTTTAAGCAACTGGCTGTGGAGCCAGAAGTTGGGGAGTTCAGTTCCCCACTGTGCTTCCTTGAAGGGGCTGGACTCAGTGATCCATAGGGTCCTTTCCAGGTCTGCAGTTCTAAGATTGTTCGAACGGGCATGAAGAGCACGTGTGGCCTAGGCCATGTCCAGATTTGTAGGTCAGAACGAACAGGTTTAAGGCTTGCAGAATTCCACACTTTTCTTCCAGAAGCAAAATATCCACCACCCAGGCCCAAATGGAAGATAGAATTCAGAATTAAAAGAAAACATATTCCCCTATCATGGTGCCCTTCAAACATATTGTGCTACAATTAAAGGCTGCACTGGCTAGAAGATAATCTAACATATCTGAAAAGTGCTAGGTTGAAGAAAGCTGGTCTGAGTCTGTACTCAGAATGTGATCTACAATACCAGTTGTACCAGAATTGAGGTCATTGATTTTAAATCACAAATCCATCCCTATTTCTGTCCTATTCAGTATCCTTATTTGAAAACAAAGGGACTATTTCTTTTCTTACTTTTGGCCAGCAAAACATTTGCCAATCTATTGCAAATCATAGTTATCCACCAGTAGATCCCAATCTAATTTTCTCCACCCCTCTTCTAGGTAATCGCCAACAACATAAATTTACTAGGAAATGAGACAGAAGGCAGCACATCTTACAGCATTACTTACTTACTCATTTGGCTTTTATACCACCCATCTAGATGAATCTACTCTGGGCTACCCAGTAGCTATTGGGACAGCCATTTAAAGAAGCACTAGACTCCATTTTTGTTCCCCTGCTGAAACACTGATGTTACAACAGTGTGGTTATTTTCACTGAGTGTCTAAGAGGTTCTTATCTAGTGTTTCTATGCTAAGAGGGTGGGCAATTTAGTTGAAGCATTGCAATATTATCTTCACTGACATCATGATGGATAACCACCAGCATATCTCACTGTTACTCATTAGCTTGGAAATACGACCCAGTGACTGTCTTAAAGTACATTTTAGCAAAGCAATACCAATTTGTTTGAGGCAAGCTTTATGGGTGATTTTCAGGCTCTTTTAGAAAGGGGGTAGGAAAGAAACCCCGCCCTTTTCTTATGTTTCAGTCACACCATCCATTTATTTATTAATTTTTATTGACTATTTAATCTGATATTAATATTGTGAAGATTTATCTGAGAGTCTGGTATTGCAAAATAGCAAGTGTCCTGACAGTATGGTTTGAAAAGTGCTGTAGACAAATGAGCATAGCATATACTCACTGAAATCCTGTTGCACAGCTCTACCCACACAGTGGGAATGATATCCTTGACAGAATCAGGTTGCCACTAATTAAGGGCTCTTTTATGGGGTACAGATGGTTTACATGCACTGCAATGAAGCCACATGCACCCCAAATTTGCAAAAGGAAGCTCCTAATTAGCAGCATTCTGCCACTACTGATTACAATATTCCGATTGCACAGGTGGACTCTACCTAACAGGATTTCAGCGACTAATATGGAATAATCTGTTCAAACGCTGTAATGTTCACATACTGTGAATGATTTCAGGTTTTGGGGGAATCCCTGAACACTTTTGTGTACCTTTCTTTGTTCCCACTGTTGTCCACTTTTATCTCTTTTTGGATCCAATCCTTACTTCTACTCCAAGGGACACAACAGAAAAAGAAGCAGATTGCAGCCAACTACAACTTCTTTAGCTGCTTGTATGACATCTCTAGCCCAGAAGGCTACGTGCTCAGTTCTGGGTTCTTGTTCAGGTACAGGCTTTGGCAGGTAATTGGCGCAGCCTGCAAGTCCTTCTTTATACTTAATTTTTGGAGTCATAGGTACCTCTGCTGAGAATAGACAATTCTCAGATCTCAACATAAAGCCCCATTGAAAATGAAATTTAAGAATATACGTTTTTTATAGAGTTGTACATTTACAACCTCTTAACTATGTTTAAAAATATATTAGCATCCTTGATTTTCCCTCCATAGATATTATCTTTGTTTCTTTTTTTTTAAAAAAAGCATGATATGAGCAACAACAAATTCCTCCTAGTTCAGGCTGTGTCTGAACTAGTAGTACTATTGCTTGTTGTAAAGATAAGGCTAGTGAACTGTTCGGGGAATGATCTTTGTTTTCAGTTGTTCACATCTCTGATAAACTAACTGCAGTTTTCCATTCGAAGATGCTTCTCTTGGACAAACTTTCCCTCTTAGCAAACTTTCACAACCTCAGACTGCAATTTCTGGAACTAAAAATGTACTCCTTTATGCATCAGTTGCAGCAACTGTGTTTGAAGTGACCAACGCCAAGAGAACAGGCCTGCAACCCAAATCCTAAGCATGATTTGAGGAAAGGGTTGCAAGAGTTCATGCAAAAGGTGTCAATATGAAACAGTACAAATTTCAAAATATTAATGCTGTTCCATTGTTCCACCACTACAAGATGAGTGGTGTCAGTGGCGGCAGCAGTTTGCTTCTAATTAATGAGTGCCTCTTTTGATTTATGTTGTGCATGACTTTGTCTCATTGCACATGAATTATGCACAATTCAAAATTGAAGCATTAAGTC